CTGACTTGTGGACCTTTCTTCCCGTTTCTCCCGAGGTGTTCCTTACGGCGCGGGCTATGACGTGAGGAATCAGCCATTTGTGCCAACAATAGCCTTTCTGAAGGGATTATTCCGATGCCGAAGCAGATTAATGGGCTTTGTGGGTGCAAAATAGGCTTTGTCCTCTTTTGATGCCGATATACGTGAGAGTAAGTGTAAATAACTTCGAAGCTGTAAATATCGCCGGGCACTTCCTGCCGTTCGGGGGAATACTTACTTGTATCTTCAGAGTTTTCTTCTCTTGCAAGACCCCCTCCTCCCCTCTTTCCCCATGCCACCTATTCACCTATCGTTCCTCTGCCTTCGAACGAAAGGAGCTATATGATTACCTGAAACAGGAAAAACAGAGAGAGGCCCACAACCGAAAGTTTTTTCTCAAAGGCGAACATGACCTCTCCTTTCCAGCGACCAAATGCGACCTCTGCCTTCCCCACCACCCCCCCCCCAAAGCCCGACGCGCCGTGAAATTCAATTCTAAAATAGGAAGTTCTTCCATTGTAATTATCGTTGACGTTCAGGCAAAAATACGCGACTAGGCAACAATTGACTACCGCCTGGCATACTAACTAGGAGGGTAATTCGTCCACGGGATGGGAGATCCTTTGTGACGTTCATCATCTTCTCCGTTCGCCATAAGAATAGAAATTGAAGGAACCATGTAAACAAATGGCCTTCACGTCGAGCCAGGCTGTTGATGTAAGGGCCCGACATACGGTTTTTAGAGGGGAGGGGGAGGGTTCGACGGAAGAAACTGGGGAATTTGAGGCAAAAAAAACAGTGGTCATTTAAATTGGGTGGGGTGGGGAGGGTTGTACCAGAGGAGGAAATTCCCAGGAAGGTGTCATATTTTTGCAAAATTCTCCTCCAATGGCATGAAGTGCCCTGATGGCGGTGAACGATGGGACAAGGCTGGGGTGAAGGAGTAATCCAACAATTTTCGCAGACCAGGAGGATTTCGATGTTTTGGTCAGGAAGGTCACTAACTTTCCTCTAGGTGTGCATTTCAATCAATAACTGGTGCGTGATTGATCAATAATCATGATCATTGATCGGTGGCACCATTGGAAAAGATCCAGAAAACTTCACGTGGATCAAAGACCATGGCACTGGAAAAGTGAAGACGCTAAAAAGGAAAAGTATGAGCTAGGGGCAGTTCTCCTCGTGAACGATTTCTCCAGAATCACGAGTGGAGTTTTCTGGTAATTTGGATGGTTTTTCCGGAATGTGGCAACATCGCGATGAAGGAAGTGGCGGTATCAGCAGGACCCCCTCGCAAGCTTTCTCCTCCAGTACAACCTTTTTCTCCACCTCATATACCGCCGTCCCAAAATCTTCCAGTTCTCCACCAATTTTCCAGAAATAGAGCCAGTTTTGAAAAAAAAATGCCGACTACGAGGACACATAGCCACGTGAAACGGAAAATCTACATTGCGGAAAATTTGCGAGCAACACGTAGAAACCTCTCTCAGAATCAGATACGACCCCCCCGGTCCAGACACGGCCCCCCTCCTCTACGATCGATACCTCATCCCTTGCGAGCGAGTAGGACCCCGATCGGATTGCCAACTGTGTAACTGAATGAGTCTTGACATGTTTACTGACCACGCCCAGGGGGCGGAGCCATGAGTGGGTGGGCTGTGTGAGGTGCGAGAGTAATTTTGAGCGCACATTATCTTGGAGTTTATCGATTTATTTGGACTACTAACTGCTGCATTTCGTATTGCGCTTGAAGTTAGGATAGTGCAGCTAAAATTGAAAGTACCGTTTGTTTAGATCAATACTGCGCTTAGAGAGACGTCCAGCGCTAAGGCGTGTCCACAGCAGTTTTGTAAGCGAACCCTGGCAAATAGTAGACTTCAACCCGGGTATGTGACAAGACGGTCCTAGCATCCGCGCTGGTGGGTATGACGAGCGACGCGTACCGTCTGCGCTCGACTCAGTAGTCCTGCACTGATCACAGGATTTGTGTTTCGAAAGGATTGGAGAATGCACTATGTTCCGCGGAATCTTGCCTCCGTTTGATTCGCGGGGCAAACCGATGCACATCGCGAATTTTCCGGTGGTGGTCGTCGCGGCTAATTTCGCGCGCGACTACGCGACAACTGCGATTGTCTTGTTCATCTCCCTGCAACTCCTGTCTTTTATAGCTGCGGAGTATTTGGCTTTGTGAAGTTATTGGCAGTCTGATTGTTTCTAGCTTTGAAGAGAGAATTCGAACGAAATGATTGGCAGGTTCATCAAAGAAAGTGCAGAGTAGGGTCAAGCCTTTTGCACCAGTTCCACGACATTAGACAGTGAAGATCTTTTTCATAAAAGGGAGGGTTATACCATAGAGGGTGGGGGACTCGGCATTGGCTCAAAAGGCAAAAATTCTTGGAATCTAGAAGTTGTGGCCGACGATCTATATGAATTTCGTGATTAGAAGCACTTTCAGACTGGTGTGGTAGGGTCAAATTATGAGGTGAAGGGGGGTCAGAGACAGTCTGTTAATGTTTGTCGCCTCTGCACAGTTTTCTGCCGGACCCTTTAAGCTGTTCTTCCTCGGCCACTTGGACGGTGGGGTAACGGCGCTGTTACCACCCGTCAGAACGGTTGATCGAATCTCGCCCTGAGCCATTTAACAGTCCAACACTTAATCCATGGCTCATCATGGCGATGTGGAAAACTATCCACACAACTCGATCCCCCACACCCCTTCTACCCACAGCAGCTCAGAGTTCCGATAAAAGGTAGAGCAAGTGGTTTGGCACCGTCCGTCTTCGAGGGGCTCCGCCGAACAGCGCCAAATTTTCTTCACCACATACTGAGTTCCACGATTGCAGCGGTATTTAAAACCTCCAAAGAATGGGCGCAGTAGCACACAGGGAACTCCCAAAGTAATGTGCCACATTTTCGAACTTCTGTACTAATTATCTTACCTTTTCAGGTTGGGCTGATTGTGACACCATTAGGAGCATGGTCAACAGTAGCTGGTGCATGGCCCTTTGGAGTGACACTATGCGACATATGGATTTCTGTAGATGTGATCGTCTGTACAGCGTCTATACTTCATTTGGTCGCTATCGCACTCGATAGGTGAGACTTCTGGATACGTTCCGTGATGACCTAAATGGGTGGGGAAGTGGGCGAAGACTCACAACCACTTCCGTCACTGTGCCATCCTCATGGACACATCTGTCCTCTCTTCCGTGTTGGATAAGACACCACTGTACACGTGCGGCGTTGTGAGTCTCCGCCCATTTCTCCGCACCCATCTGGTTTATCGAGGAATGTGTCGTTAATGTTGCAGAAATTGAGAACTCATTGTAATTTATCAGATTTATATTGTATTAATCGAAAGATAGACAAAGAGTCAGGCGCTGCTTTGTCGACGGGGGGGGGGGGGGGATATTTTTTTCCTTCCATTACCTTTCCCTAGTTCCGGTTTACAAATCCCCGATACTCTTGTGGAACGCATTGTGAAGCTGGAAGTAGTATCGTCTAACACCATCCAGAAAACATAGAGTGTCAACGCAGAAAAGGGGCTACCAGATGGGATTACGGGCATGTCTAGCAGAAACGGCAGAATCCCCCCCCCCCGATCGACAAGAACTGCGCCAAAGCGGAATAGGGACGAATTATGATGTTGAAATATTATTATATTGAGAATTCCACTGTAATCTACGAGGGACATTTGAACCGAAGTTTTGTTGCTGCCTGGTAGTCCCTGATAGAACGCCGTGTTGGAAGTTCTCCTAGAAATTTCACCGATGTAAGTACGTCGTCCCATGACAATCCGAAATAGACTGTTGTATTAGAACAGTATTGAAGCAATAAGTAGTTTGAGGCAAATGAGCGGTTTGCATGGTGTTCAAAGTTTAGTCTGTTTGCTCGAGAACGCCATGCTGTTGACCTTCTTTCGAAATTGTAGAAATGTTGTAATGGCGCAACATGGCCTGTACTTCAACATGTGAGGTTAATGCAGCGCTCGGGTTGCTGGCTTCTCACCTTCTGATGATCCTAGCGTACCAATATGGACGTCTTTGACGACATTTTACTCATAGGATTCCGCTCCGTTATTGTCACGAAAAGCTTTAGTGTAGTGTTTTCGGCTCAAGTGGCAGCTTAGACTTTGTAGATTTGTTCTAAGCATGTTTTTGACGTGCGCGAGTGACATAAGCAGTAAAAATCTGAGTGGTGCTCAAAACACATCACATCCCAACAACAAACTCTATCACCGCGAAACAAGCTGGGAGGTGGGGGGGGGTAGGTGATAGGGATAAGCCGAGTTTCCCTTTTCGTTTATCCCCGTCGAAAACTCCGGACAGCGCGAGTGGGGACTGCATGAGTCACGGTAGGTAGAATCTCCGGGCTGAAACAAAACTCCCACGTCGCAAGTTACTATATGAAAAGTGAATCTACCACACTTTGCGAGATTAAACAGGGTGTGGTGACCGGAAATGGTCAAAGACACTCGCAGCTCAAATTAGATTTTAGCACTAACATCAATCGTCCTAACAGCGCTATATTCAATAATAGGGCTAATCGGCAGTGACTAAGCATCGTCATGGAATATTATCGGTTGGCGTTTGTAAACAATTTGCTCACAACAATACAAGGGGGGGGGCAAAAAAAGTCTTTCAGGCCGAGACCCACCTATCAACGAAGTTTCTCGGCAGCCCAACAGGGAACAGTGGATCGATGAAGCCAGGGTGGAAAGTACCCATGATCTGTCGGCGTCTATAGAGCTGGGCAGGCTGCCGGTCCATCGCGCTATCATGATACCCAAAAATATGGGATCAGTCATCTCCAGTCGCGGCCTGACTGGAGAACACCTTTGGAATTCACGTCGCCTCCAAACAGCTGCGAAACTTCTTGAATGAAGTCATCCACAGATAGCTACCTGAAGGTCAGTACTCTTGATCTGCAAGACCTCCCACATCGAGCAGCTACGGCAACGTCGCTACGGTCCGGGATATCATCTTCACCCCATTCACCAAGGCGCGGGTTGATGGTGTGGACCGGCCGTACCTGGAATGGGAAGACCGATATTTTCTTTGTAGACCCCGACTGAAGGTGAGCGCTGGCGGTTACATCAAGTAACTCGAGAAGGATATCTCCGCTTTTTTTTTAAACCAAGATTTTGGGTGTTGCCCGTACATTCTTGCGGGACTTGTGCTGCTACAAGTTTCGCGTGCCACACATGGAATCTCGAAGCGGTTCTGAAAAGTCCCGCCTATCTTCGAATTGAAGAGGCGTATTCGTACCTTGATGGACAGGTGTTAATATTGGAAATAATGTCCATGACCTGGACCACTCAGTTACCTGGCTGCGGGACGGAACCTCACAGGGTGGTCTACAGTGGCGGAGAAAACGATCTCGCTCAACTCCGGTACCCACTCACTTTCGCGCGGCCGAATCTCTCGATGGCGCTCCTCCAGAAGGCTGTGGCGGATTATTGTTATAGTATTTAATGTGCTCTTTAAATATGGTAGTAAAAAATGGTCCGCATTTAAAAATCTTATAAAGTGTAACTGATAGCGCCTTTGAAAGTCTGGAAGCCAAAATTGACTTTTTTTTGGGCCCCCCCCTGTATGTTCTTACAGGCCTACTGCAGCTGGATTTATCGGATGCTGCTGGGGGAAACACCACCGTTGCGCGCACTGCACAGAGATTTCTTCAAAGGCACGATAATTGACCTGTGTAGTTCGAGGGGTCCAATGTTTGAACTAAAATCTCCTTTTTTATGGAGACTTGCTCACAACGACAACGTTCGCTCGCTAAACTTGAAAATCCTGTATAGCTCAAGTAGAATCGAGGGAATACGCAGCGAAGGCCTGTTGCGATGACGCGGTTGACGGCAGCGCCGACATTCGCACCATGACCCACTATGTTCCAACTCACGTGACAATGCTGTTGGCTGCTCAGCATGGTGCTAATTCACTGGCATGGGCGAGCAGTGACTCTGCATCCTCAGACCTACACCCTTTGCAGCGCCACTATTTTTCGTGATGCGTATTAGGGAGGAGACCTTCGCGTTACAGACGGTATTGGCGAACGCATAGGGAATCCACTGGCGGATCGGTCGATAATTCATGGTCATTTGGGCGGAGCGACGAACAGCTTAAAGGGACGACGGCTTACTAGGTTCTCATGAAAACGGGGGCAGTACCAGAATACAGAATTGGGGGGAGGCGTAAAAATACTTCCTGCGGCCAGCTGTGCCCTGATTCCAGTATTCATATCACTACATCACTGTTGTCTGACGTATTCATACCGATCAATGCTGAGTCAGAGGGCTACAGACTCTGCGAATCAATCGATTATTGATTTTACAAGGGACTAGGGTTGTTAGCTGATTTTCACAGGGGGGCGGGGGGCAATAAAACAGAAGGCCCCAAATTATTTTAGCTGCTTTCAGCGGTAATGAATGAGTAGTACAGCGATAAGCATTTCAGCTTATTACGAATCGTTAACGGCCAAAAAAGATCATCTTGCGAAACCATTTACGTGAAATGGTCAGGTTTTTCCTAGATCAGCTTTATTAGAGGGTGGCCGGATCGATTATCGATTTGTGCATTCATTTAGCCTGTACATTGATTAGTTTTTTTTTGTTCGACCAGAGAAACGAAGTAACAGCGCGGCCTCATGGTCCTTCTACTTTCACTTCCCACGTAATCCGTTTTTTGCCCACTCATATATACTCCTTGACTTTATTTGGTTATTTTTTTATTTTTTATACATATCACATTGGAAATCTGTATAGTCCAGTAGATCCGGATCGCGGCGGCGAAGCTGCTGCGAGCGGGGTGACGCGTGCGGGCATTCGCACAAATGAATCCACTTTGATCCAAGCACGTACTAATGCTTGCTCAGATAGCTACTCGAAAAATGGCTAATCATGGCGGAGCAACGATTCGCGATCCTCAGAAGCTACAACCTTTGCGTAAGGTCGTCACGTATTTGTTGGTGCGGTATCAGGATGGAGGACCTTCGGTTACAGGACACGAGGAACGCTACGGAAGTTCTTACCAGGCGGATCAGTGTCGGTTATTTGAGTCGTTGGAACGGAAGCGACGAAAGTGAAGGGGATACGTAGGTGTCATGAAAAAGCGGCAGTCGTACCAGAGGAAGAATTGGGGGGGAGCCTGCTGAAAATCTCTCCTGCGACAGCCTTATTGCCCCTGATTCAGTATCAGTTATCACTACATTAATTATTGCTCTAGACCAGTAGTTCATAATGTAAGTGATGAGTTTTGTAAAATCAATAATCGACCGCGCCTATCAGGTCGATTATTGATTTTTCAAGGGACTGGGTTTGCTAGCGGATATTCATTAGGATTGGGGTGCAATAAAACACGAAAAAGCCCCATAATTATTTAGCTGCCTCAGTGTAAGGATATCCGATGAACTGCCAGAGTGGAGCATTTCAGCTGATTACGAGTCGCTTGAAGCAAAGAAATCAATCGGATCCCCAGTTTCGGATAAAAACAAAAGGGAATGAAAACATATTTTTACAGATGATTGTCTGTTTTTGAGATCAGCCGGTATATAGGGTGCTGGCATCGATAATCGATTTCTGCCACTATCATTAGATGTACGTGATTAGTTCTTGTTCGACCATGAGAAGAAGTGAACAGCTTATTATAACAGCGGCCGTCATGGTCCTTCTACTTTCACTTCCCACGTAATCCGTTTTTTGCCCACTCATATATACTCCTTGACTTTATTTGGTTATTTTTTTATTTTTTTACATATCACATCGGAACATTGTGGGATACAATTATCCTAAAGGTCTTATGGAGCATTCTTGTATCAATAATATAATGTATTAATATTAATAACATCAATGTATTAATGCAGATCATCAGCTGATTTTTTAATCTATTCGATCGATAATTGATTTTCGGTCGTATAAATCAATGATTGATTTTTGGCCAACAAAAGCGATAACTGATTTTTCTGCTTGTAGGTACTGGTCGGTGACGGATATCAGCTATGTACAGAATCGTACCCCAAAACGTATTATGATCATGTTGACGGTGATATGGATGACGTCATTGTTAATCAGTTTGGCACCGTTTGCTGGCTGGAAAGACGACGGTTTTAAAGATCGTGTCCTACGTCAACATGTCTGCCTTATCAGTCAACAGATTAGCTATCAGGTACGGTAACAATGATAAACATATTACGTTCATTCCTAGAAGTAATTCGTTGTTTCTATCTGAGAACGTGCTGGGGATGGCGTGCAATACTCGATATGTCCGTTTGGGGCGCGCCACGCAGTTGACTCTGGTTCAGAATCGCGGAACTCTTTGAATGCGCATGTGGCCCTTACATACGTTACAGTGTTCTCTTGCGGATCCGACTTGTGGCGGTTCAAAGCGTTGCAACTGGTCGTGTGCGTCTTCGCACCGAGACTATTGATTCTGCGCGAATGTGCTACAGTAAAGGGAGTCGACTACCATGGAATGCTGCCTTTTTACCCATGTCGCTGCAGCTCGGATCTCCTGGCCGATATAACTCAAGGCCCAATCTTTAAATAATGAAGCAATTGAATCCCCTGGTCCAGCCAGGTCACACAAGGCTCTAGCAGACTGCTCGATTCATGGTGATAGGAACCCTTTTCTTAGTTTCTTCATTGAATTCTGTGAATCACACATGTAGCCCCTCGACTACAGTACCTCAACTATAATTGTGCAAATACAGACCGTCGCCACTTTTGGGCATTTGGGCGTGCCATGCCCAGTGCGCTCATCAGATTGGAGAAAAACCCCAAATGGCTGCGGAAATGACTTTTTCAGTGGGTGAGATTCATTTCCACAGTGTTTGCACCACAGACCTTGTTTGTCCGGATGGCCAACGTAGCCATTTAACGAACCGTGCAATGAAACTCGCTCTTTTTATGCCATGGAGGGACTCTGTGCAAACTCGCTTCCGACAATTAAACAAAGTAGTCTTTTATCACAAGAATGCTGAGTTGTGGGCAAAAGTCGGACCACGGGCGGGACTCGAACCCGCATCTTCTGCTTACCGGGCAGTTGCGTTACCATTAGGCTGCGTTTATACTTTGCGGCAGCGTAGCGTAGCGTAGCGTAGCGTAGCGCAGCGTAGCGTAGCGCTTCCAGCGTACGCCAGCGGCAGTGCCGAAGAGAGGATGCATATCGATCTAGCTTCACCAGCGTCACCAGCACGCTAGCGTACGCTAGCGGCACGCTAGCGTACGCCAGCGTTTCTCCAGCGTTTCACCAGCGTTTTGCTAGCGTTTGCAGCGGCAGGGGAGTAGAGACTATGGGAGAGCTGGAGGGTACAAAACACATCGATTGCGCGTCTCTCACTCGCCCTTAGTCTCTACAATGCACATCGCTTCTGCGTCTCCGACGGCCACATAGTCTCTACAATGCACATCGCTTCTGCGTCTCCGACGGCCACATAGTCTCTACAATGCACATCGCTTCTGCGTCTCCGACGGCCACATAGTCTCTACAATACACGTCGATTCCCGTCTCTCACGGCCACATAGTCTCTACTCCCCTGCCGCTGCAAACGCTAGCAAAACGCTGGTGAAACGCTGGAGAAACGCTGGCGTACGCTAGCGTGCCGCTAGCGTACGCTAGCGTGCCGCTGGTGAAGCTAGATCGATATGCATCCTCTCTTCGGCACTGCCGCTGGCGTACGCTGGAAGCGCTACGCTACGCTACGCTGCCGCAAAGTATAAACGCAGCCTTACGCTACCGGGGCCACTTTTGACCTCTCAATGGCTATTTGTGCCATTGCCTTCGAGCACTCACACGTTCAACGTGATGAGCCGGTTAGCCGATATCGGCAGTGAACCGCAAGGCTGAAGGCTTTTACAAGTTTTAGACTGTTATTGTTTTAACCGGTAGCGTAAGTGGTAACGCAACTGCCCGGTAAGCAGAAGATGCGGGTTCGAGTCCCGCCCGTGGTCCGACTTTTGCCCACAACTCAGCATTCTTGTGATAACTTTCGTATCGCGCACTGCGGCGTTAAAACAGCAGTTATCAACAAAAACAGTCTAAAGTAGTCTTTTGGAGATTACACCTCGTGGACACCTCTGGGAAACCTGGGCGGGGTCAGCGTCTGAATGCCGGACATGTACGTCCATGTGTGAAGAGAAGTGTTGTAGGAAAAATCGAAATCTACCGTGGAAACTAGTATCGGGTGCCGTTACCTACACTCCCTACCCCTGAGTCAGAGTAGGCGTGGCATTTGAATATGGCACGACGAAATTTCAGTCTGGGAACAACTGTCATCTTGTTCTGTTGGACAGAGACACGACAACAATTGTGTCAAGATGAAAATATCTCACCAGAAGCATAGACACCTTCAGGTTAAGTTGAAGCATGCGGCCACGCCTACCCGATCTCAGGGATTTCGAGTATACTTGGTGCGGTGCTCACGCGCTGATTCTGTTCCAGTGTTCTAAAAAGAGGTGCCTGGCAGATTTTAAGTGACGACACATCACTAAACAATTTATTGCTTTCTCACCACCCGCTGTGGCAAGAGAAGTAAGTGCAACATGCCCTCATCCCCCCCCAAGCCGAACTGCCCCCATTATTTATACTCTTATGAGATAAGGAATCAAAAATCATCATCTTTGGATTTTTCCACGATCTCTTAGAGGCTCAAAACCCAATGCACGGATTTCTGAAAAGGGTAGAGTCACGCGATTCCCGTGAACAATTATTTGAGGGGTTCGTAGTATTCTACGCACCGCGCTTTTTTTAGCGTCGTTCATCACCCTTTATTGTTAAGGGCCGATTTAAAGCAGTTGCGTGAAGGCATCATCTTCATTTCAAACGCTTGACTATGCTGTACTTTAAGTTTATGTGCCCTCTTGCACACTTTAGAATCCTCATTAAATCCATCATGTCTCGCGTGAAATCTCGTGACGTGCAGATAAAGACTTTTCCATCGTCCGTCGTCTTAGATGAGCTTCGTGGGATATATGAGCGTAGTAAGGGAGTGAAAAAATTTGGCGCACTAGATTCCAGGGACGGGTTCGACAACATTTAAGGTAACCTAGAGCCGAAGAGTAGAATCAAGGCATTGTGAAATGGGGTAATCATAGGGAAGAATCGGAGAACGTTGATGAAGCCTTTCACCTGACTTGGAGTATAGTATCTGGCGCTGTTCCGCCTAGGGAGAGGAAGAGGGCTTTTTGTCCTTTCTTCGATTCAGAATACCTAAGCTGACTACCTATGCTACTACTTGGCTTAGGAGAGGACATTTTCCTAGTTCTCTAGTTCTTTTCTTAGTTTCTGTTAACAGACAGGTCTTTTTCTTTTGGGGAGATCAGGGGAGGCTTGTGAAGCTACGAAATGGCCGTTTCGATCACAAGAATTTGCAGGTTGTCACAAGATGGCCTGTGCAAGCTCCACTGAGTACCATGTGCCCTCCCCCCCACTCAGATGAACTGCACTCCGCACCAAAATCTCGGCTAACCAGCGGTTCATAGCGAGAGATAGATGGGTAAGAGGTTCGCGGGTGCTAGATCTAAGGATTAAACTTCACATTTCCTACTTGCACTTGAACGGATAACAACAGTCTGCCCGATGGGTGACCGGTTATCACCGCCCCCCCCCTATCCATTGCTTAGGAACAGAGCACATAATAGTGGAAGAATCCCCAAGAGGCCATGTTTAGGTCACTGCTGAGGGAATCGTACTGCTCTTATTGAACGGTTCTACTGATTTGTTGAACGGACCTGCATTAAAGGCGGGGGAGGATGAAACTGGGGCAGGGCAAAAAGGATTCAGTGTTCGAGTGGTGAGAAGGAGAAGGAGAGGTCGTAGTGAGGGGATTTTCCGGCGCAGTTTGCCTACGGGGAGAGGGGGCATTTAATACTTTCGTTGCTTCACTAGTTCTGGTTTACAAGTCTCACTCTGGTAACATGTGAACTTTTGTGAAGCTGGAGCAAGCTCGTCAAGCCATCATGGTAAAACCTGTCAACTCGAGAAGAGGCTGTCTAGATGAGTCGATGGGAAGTGGTTAAAGTGCAAAATGCCACCCCTCGTCGCAAGACAACGCCAAGTTTTCCTCCGCCGCGATGGTGTGTCCTGACTGAGGTGCACTACTAACATCATCGGAACTTTTAATAGAATCCCCAGTATTTTACATCGTGAGCCGTCGGTCCGCTTGTGCCATGTAGCGCCTATTTGCGAGGGCGTGTGCCGACCCAGTGGGCGTTCCCGGGCATGGAGCATAAAGTTCTAACACACTTGCTAGGAGTATCCCAATCGTGAAATCGCTACAACCTCTGCTATTGGAAACCAAAATATTTTACTGATAGATTGTTCTCTCATCTAATCATGAGTACAGTACCGCACCCACGTGTCCGACAGGTCAGTTGGAGCGTCTTCAGAATCCAAAATTTGTCCGGATCGCACTAGTTTACACTTTTCGTAACAGACGACATTACTGATGCTGGTAAGGCTCAGTGCAGTGCTCCTACTCTTCAGTAAAGGCATCTCCCAACAATTAGCTGCACTCCAGTCCAAAAAAAACCGAGAAATCAACAACCGGGAACATTCTCCTGGAAGGCAGATACGACATCCCTCTCTCATTGACCAAACTACGATCCCCTTGCTGAGGACCCCCAATGTACGACGTGGCACGATCGTAGTGTAAGCGCGCCATGCAGCATGTGCTTCTTGGACTATCCCACAAATTACGTGCTGCTTAGGCAAGAACCGACCAATTGGAGATCTTCCACAACATCTCCCATATAAGTGCTTCATTGAACAGGAATTTTTTCACACTATTCGCCTTTTAGTGCCTCAGTTCCTGAAGATCGAGTCTTAACTTTGATTTGCCTGGAAATTGTTCTCTTAAAGTAGTTTGACCCCATGAACATGAATATCACATTTGTTTGGCGTCCGAGCCACAGACACCAGCGCTAAAATATTTCAAATCACCAACTTCGCTGAAACTTCGTGACATCTGCTTGTCTGAACCCTTTAGCTGAGGGTGAATAGTGCCATTTTTAAGGTTGCAGGGGGTGAATAGAGAATTTTTCTAAGTAGTCCTATTTTTCACTTCTCAATGCGCGAGCACCACCCACCTTTGCATTCAAAAAGACGCACAGTAACGGCCACGTTTTCGACTGCGCAGCGCAGTTGACTTCCGCAGTGCGCAGTACGGAGAGATGAAT